CATTTGGTACATATATATTTAGAACTGTTATATCTTCTTGATAGATTGTTCTCTTTATTACTGTGCAGTAGCCTCTTTATCTTTTCTGGCTAATTCTGGCATGAAGTTTACTTTATCAGATATCAGAGTATCAGTACTGGCTTGTTTTGGGCTTTTTAAAAAATTAATATTATTGATTTTCATTCTTTCACACTTAAATCTCTATGTGTCTTCCAAGGGAAGTGTGTTGGAGGCAGTAGATAGATGGATCTTATTTTTTGATCAAATCAGCCATTCTTTTTTTTTTTTGGAGTTTTTGAGACAGGGTCTCCCTGTAGCCCCAGCTGGCCTGGAACTCACTATGTAGACCAGGCTGGCCTTGAACTCACAGAGGTCTGACTGCCTCTACCTCAAGGCGTGTGCCACCACGCCTGGCTAAACTGGTCTTTTTTTGAGACAGGGTCTCCCTGTAGCCCCAGCTGGCCTGGAACTCACTATGTAGACCAGGCTGGCCTTGAACTCACAGAGATCCCCCTGCCTCTGCCTCCCGAGAGCTGGGATTAAAGGTGTGTGCCACCAGAGTTAAGGCCATCTATATTTAAAGTTAGTATTGAGTTTTGCAGATTCCTCTAATTTTCTTGGTTGTGTTCCTGGTTGGTTGGATTATTGTTTGTTTCCTTCTCCCTTGTTCATATTAGGGATATGCTATTTAATGAGTCAGACATGATTAATTCTTTCCTAGCTCATCTTTTTCATCTGTTCCTCTCCTGAATGCATTCTTTCCTGTTCTCATGATTGAGACTGTCTTCCTCTCCTCTGTGTTTAGGATTCTTTTAAGTATCTTAGCTTGGTGGTCAGGAATTGCTTTAGTTTGTACTTACCTTTATTTCTCTGTCAAGATAACTTTGCTGGATTTAGTCATCTTAGTTGGTAGTTAGCTTCACGGGCTTAAAATATATTATCCTGGCTTCTAGGATTTCTGCTGAAAGGTCTGATGCCATTCTAATGTGCTTGCTTTTGTGAGTTGGCATTTTTCTCTTACAGCTTGTAGTAACTTTTTCTTGATTTCATAGTTTTGGCATCTTGAGTATGATGTGTCATGGACAGACCTCTGGTCATGTCTGTTGGGGTTATTAACTATCTTGTGCTTGGCTGTACATTTCTTTCCCTGTATTTAGGAATTTTTCTCCTATAATTTCATTGAATAGTTTTTCTATGCCTTTGGTTTTTAATCGCTGTTCTCTCTACTATTCCATGGATTCTTAAGTTTATTCTCTTGATTATGCCCCAGAGTTCTTGAAGTTGTGTTCATGCTAATTTCTTGATTTCTTTTTCTTCTTTTCTTCATTGATTCCTGACAGTACTTTCTTGACTTTGTCTATTTCTATTTTTTGGGTGGCAGGGGGCTTGGAAAAGTCTATTGGTGATGCTTTTTACTGTGTTTTTGAACTTGATTTGTTGAGCTTTTCCATTTCCAATGTTTCTGACTTCTTCCTCGTCCCCTTCAAAATTTCAGTGTCCTTGCTGACCTTCTCTGGGTTCCTGACTTTCTTCTTCTGGTTCTGGATTGCTTTCCTTAATTCATTTGCTTGTTTGTATCCTTTTTGAAGCTGTTGGTCATTTTTATAACTAAACTTTTGAATTCTTCATCTGGCATTTTACCCATCTCAGTAGCTTTGGATTTGATAACCGAGAAGTCATGTTTTGGAGGAGTCCTATTGCCTTGACATTTCATGCTTTTGTGTTGCAATTTATACATCTGTTGTTTAGGACATCTCCTTCAGTGTTATTGAGGATCTTAGTGAGTGGATCTCTCTTGAAGTCTCAATCCCCATTACTACTCAGAGAGGAGAAAATAAACTGGTTTTGGAGAGGGGTCTTCCACTTCCCCTCTGCCCGCTGCAAAGCTACATGGCTCAAGCCTTGTGGTGCAGCACTCCTATTCAATGAATTACTTTGCTCTTTTCTTTGACCTCTTCTCATTTGCCAAGTGACACAGAGGCAGCTTCTAATCCATCATCTTTGTCTTGAAAGTTTTACTAGGATCATTTCTAAGATGGGAATTGCTTATATTCATAAGATACGCATGAATTCAACTTTATAAAGTAATGTTAAATTGTTTTCCAAAGTGGCTGAGTTGAGACACTCTTCAGCAGTATAAAAGGGTTGTTTTTCATTCTAACCACAATATTTGATGTTCTTTAACTTTTAAAACTATTTGTTGGCCAGGTGTGGTGGCACATGCCTTTATTCTCACCACTCAGGAGGCAGAGGCTTGTGACAAGTTCTTTGTGAGATTGAGACCAACTTGGTCTATATAGGGAGTTCCAGAACTTGGTCTATATAGGGAGTTCCAGACCAGCTGCCCTGTCTCAAAAACAAACAAACAAACAAACAAACAAACAAAAAAACCTGTTAATTTGAGAGAGTAAAACAGATTTAGCTGTAGAAATAAGTGCTAGTGTGTCACATTAACTCAAATTTGTCTGATTTCCAACTCTATATAAGCTATCTTTCTATAGCAATGCCAGTAGTTAATGAAAAATGAGAATGAAGTTTTAATATTTATTTTAATGAATTTTCTGTAAGAACTTCTTTAGGGAAATATTTCTGAAAATGTGATTTTTAGCTTAACTGGATCAGGATCACCCGATTGGGGTGGCAGTACAGTAGAGGGATGAGAGAGAAGGAAAAAAGGGAGAAGACAGGAAAGAAAGATTGAATGTGGTATGTGTTTCATGTTAAAACTATCTGATTCCTGGACCCATTTGTTGCTCTACTAATTTAGAATGAATAGGAATGCAATCCAAGAATGTGTACATTTTTGTGTCAGCTCTCCTGTTTTTATTTTGCTTTTAAAGAAACATTATTCAATAATTTGCACTTAAGTAAAAGAGCAGAATGTGTTTAGAACTTAGTACATTTTATTACCTGTAGCTTCAAAGATAGTATTAAATACTTAACCAGAAAAGGTTTTCAGTATAACTCTAGTTCTAAAAAGATTAAATAGTGAAATTGACAGAATATCGATTATTTTAAGAATCTATAGCTTAAAGGGAGCATCCTTAAACACAACCTTCAAAATCATGCATATTTTTGTTATGCTAATTTCATTGTTTATTTTGCTAGAAAATTAAATTATTATATTAAGGGATTAATGTCATACTTTTGTGAACAGAAAAAACACTGAAAATAATAAAAGTGTCAGTTTGTGTGTCATGCTTTTCAAACAAGACTTTAAATTCTATATTATATGTAAAAGCTGTTAGCTATTCTAAAGGCACAATAAAAGATTATTGTTCATATCAGTGTAATATATTGATATTCCCCAACTGTACCTTTTCATTTTGCACATTGTCAGACCTTGGGCCTTAATCTTATCCTTTGATTGACAGTAGCGACCAGGGAAAGAACACTTGTATTGTTAGGGATAGTCACGTCTGTTCAACTTGATTCGGTGAGGGTATTTGCATATTCTTAAGTATTTCTTCTGAGAGGGCTTAAATCCTTCTCAAGTGCTTGATGTGTTTTTGAAATTCATTCATAAGGTATCTACATGCACTAATAGTTCTGTATAATATTGCTGTGAATAATCTGACAGATATGACCACATTTTAAAACAAGGTATTCTTTAGGGATGCTACATCATATTTTGCTTATCCTGCTAGGCAGAAATGTTAGGTTTTTGAAAATGTCTTTCAATGCTTTAAATAAGTATAGCTTTACTTCAGACAAATTTGTCTCTCACAGTACAAATAAAGATTTATTGAACAGTAATGCAGTGATATTAATCACACAGCTTGGAAATTAAGCCTTAGTCAACCTTTAAAAAATGGCATAATGACCTCTGATTTACATTATTACAAATTATCTTACATCTGAATGTCTCCTTTCCAGTAGAACACAGTCAAGGATCATGTCTTATTCATCATCTATGTCTCCAAAATTTTAGCCGGGTGTGGTGGCGCATGCCTTTAATTCCAGCACTCATGAGGCAGAGGCAGGCAGATCTCTGTGAGTTCAAGGCCAGCCTGGTCTACTTAGTGAGTTCCAGGACAGCTGGGGCTACAGGGAGACCCTGTCTCAAAAAGACAAAAAAAAAAATGTATTTTATCATAGTTAATTCCCAATTATTATTTTGCTGTTCTATTCTCATTGATCTCCTAGGCCCTTATTCTATAAAGAGCAGTTGTGAAACACAGTGACTTATTACCGGAATGTTAAACACCTTTAAACTTAAACAAAAGTTTCTTTCTTTGTTTCATTTCTGATGAATTGGCACTAGCTGTTTTGAGAAGAACTTTTGAGGTCTGCTGGGATCGATAAGCAGTATTGCCGTGGGCTTGAGATCAGAAAAACTGTTCTTCCTTGATATATGTGATCTTAGAGAAGGGAGAGAGAATTATAGAGTAGAATGATAGAAAGGTTTTTTGGGGGGGGGAATAAGGCTCAAATCAGAGAGCAAATAGAATTTAGATGCTATTGTAAAAGTAGTGGAAAAATGTAACCTAGTCTAGGAGGTCCATAAAAATCATAGATTTAATGAAAAAATGCCACTAGGTTACATTAATATAGTCAAAGAAAGAAAAGCATTTGTTGAATATTTACTGTGATACAGATCCTTTTCTCACACCAGTCTTGGCGCCTTTCTTTTCTGTTGTTTGTTTGTTTGTTTTTGAGGCAGTCTTTTATGTAGCTGAGGCTGACCTTGAACTCATGATTCTCTTGCTTCCATCTCCCAAGTGCTGGGATTATAGGTGTGAGTCAGTGTGCATGACTCTTTACTAATTTTTATTCTGTGCTTTTTCTTTCATAAACTATTCAATGTAGTTTTCCCTGGGCCAGCTCTTTCCAAGTTTTTGTCTGCTTTATTATATATAAAAGCTGTAATGTAAGTTCATCACAACTTTATTATTGTATTGCCAGAATTCTTTGGTGAAGGAAATTCCTTATGATTTTTTGGTTTTTATTATTTGACTATAAAATAATTCCAAGCTATGTAATTATTTGTTGTCTTCCAGGAATCTCCTTCTGGTCGGAGGAAAGCTCTTGCTACTAGCAGCATCAATATGAAACAGTATGCAAGCCCTATGCCAACTCAAACTGATGTCAAGTTAAAATTCAAGCCATTGTCTAAAAAGGTTGTGTCTGCCACTCTCCAGTTTTCATTATCTTGCATCTTCCTTCGGGAAGGAAAAGCAACGTAAGTTTCATTAGTCAGATAAGCTACTTCATTCATACTGTGTTCCAAAACACCACAGGTACATAGCCTTTGACTCAGTAGTCTGGCAACATCCCATAGCATACCAGTCATTCTTGCTATTCTTTATTGCAGGAGCTGAGTTAAACGAACTCCTTGTTATTAATAAATTGTGTCTTCAGTCTAGAGAATGACAGTACTCTAACAATGATTGTAGCTGGTTTCAGTCTTTGAACTGGATCTTACAGGACTGTAAGCATTTGTTTTGTAGCTTATTGTCTTCATGATAGCACCCTATTTTCTGAAGTGCATACAGTTTAGTTTGTAGAGCTATTTAGTGCAACTGAGACATGACAAAAATTCAAAGTGAAGTTTAGGATACTAATGTTGAAAGAACTAAGCGATATTTTTGCCAATTTAGTTCTTTCAAAAAAAATTGCTTATTTAGGTACAGCTAGATAAACAACTTACTGTAATCTTTATCCTTCCAAAAATTATCTTGAGTTGGATGCTTTAGTGTATATCTGCTGTACCAGCAACAGGAGGCTAAAATTGGAGGATCACTTCAGTCCAAGAGTTTGAGAGCAGTCTGGGCCCCATACCCTTCTCAAAACCAAAAACAAAACAAAAATCACTTCATAAATGCTGAGAAAACACCATTCTAACGGTGTAGAAGGAAGTGAACATACATAAATCAAGGGGGAAAAAGTCCCATTCATGTGGTTATTGCATATAATTAAGTCAGGAATAAGTGCATGTGATGGAAGGTGAAGGGACAGAGTAAATGGAAATACTGTGCCTAGAATTTCCTATTAAAGTTAAGGGAGAAAGGCAGCCTGTGGACATTCAGGTCCAGTCTGAAACACATTCTGAACGTACTTGGCTCATTAGAATGTGGCTACTATGATTGGTGTTGTCTGCTTGACTGATAAGGCTGGATTCTGCACATCACTCAAAGTGAGATGTTTGGCACTCACCTATAAGGCAGCATATGACTTGGTAGGTAACAAGATTCCTCTTCTCAGAAAAGTTGTGGTGCCAGTGAGTGTGGTTAGTAGACAGTTGAGAATCGAGCATCTCAGTCTTTCCACTCAGGACCTTGAATACTGAGAAATAAAGATCAGACCCTGAAGCTTAAGCCAAATTGAAAGGAAAGGAAATGCAAGAAGAAGAGAGAAAACAAGTTCAGAGATTCATTGAGGGTGGCCTTCCTTCCACTGAGCAGAAGCAGTAAGTGAATCAGCACCATTCACAGCAGTCTGGGTGAGAAAAAAATTCAGCTAAACCAAAAGTTTCAATTGAATATGAATAGGAATTCACTGAGAACACCCTAAACTCCCCTTTCGCCTCCTCTTCCTTGCCTCCTCAACATCCCCAGAGAAAAATGTTCAGGGTTAAAATATGGGGAGGTTTAAGTTGTAAAATTAAGCGAGTTACCTTTTAAGAATGGTGTTCTTTTGAACTTATGTCTCTATTATTATTGTCACCATCATCATCATCATCATCATCATCATCATCATCATCATTATTGTTTATTCTATTTTATCTTTTGTTAACAGGGTCTTGCTGTGTAGTGTTGACTGTCCTGGAACTCATTATGTAGTCTAGGCTGGACATGAACTTACTGTGATCATCCTGGCTCTGCCTCCCAAGTGTTAGGATTACTGGTGTGTACTACCATGCCTGGCCTTATTATCTGTTATTGCTAAGTGAGAATTTGTAAGGCACTCATGAAGTAATAGATCTTTTCTTGCTTGTGTAGATTTTCTGTCATAAAATTGACTTAAAAAGAGGGAAATGATTTTGTTAATTGTAAGCCTATATGAGGTAAAATATAAAGAATTTCAATAATTGATTTAGTTTGCAAAGTTATACCATATTTAGAAGATAAGAAAAATAAAAAATAACAGCATTTACTGTGGCTGAAGGAAGTATACAAAATCAAAATTCTGTTTATTAAAAATATGTTTTGTTCACTGTAGTTTATTTGAAATTTAAAGTAAAAACAGATCAAGAAAATTTAAGTGATTTGATCCAAGATATTTAATATAAACCTTATAAATTTATAGCTAAATGTTTTGAGATTACAAATTTGTAGTTTGGCAAAGATATGGTGCTTGCTTTTTAAAAAGGCTAGACTTAGTTTTTAAGGTGATTTTTTTTTCCTGTTAACAATAGTTCATTAACTTTGGGGACTATGGCTCCACTGAAAAAAATTGCACATTAAAATAAGATTTAAATAGGATTTACAAGTGTTTACCACTTGATTTTCCTCCGACTCATATACCTAAAAGACTCATGTCATTATATTACGAATTTTTGTTCATATTCATTTTGGAAGTTCAATATTTTAAAGTTAAGATTTCATCTGATTTGCAAGCTATCCTACTGTTTCACAAAACAAGTTTTTGTTTCTGGCCTTAAAGACCAGGAAACTATACTTGATTCTCTGAGGGAAATATTAGTCTTCCATAGGGCTTCAGCACAAAATTACTGAAAACTCTTAACCAGTTAAAATTTAGTCTTGTTTACATTTTAATAATTAAACAAACATACCATTTAAAAATTAATAAAAAGCTGGGCATGGTGGCACATACCTTTAAACCCAGGACACAGGAGGCAGAGGCAGGTGGATCTCTGTAAGATCAAGGCCAGCCTGGTCAATATAACAAGTTCCGGGCCAGATGTGGCTGCAGGGAACCCTGTCTCAAAAAGACAAAAAAAAAAAAAAAAAAAAAAAAAAAAGTGTGTGTATATATATATATATTTCAAATTTTTATGTTCTTATATAATATGTAAAATGTATTTAAATATTGTATAGAAATAGTATGCTAGTATTATATATTGTGTATTCCTTATCCAAAGTGCTTATGACCAGAAGTTTTCAGATTTCACTTTTTTTTCAGATTTTTGGGATATTTGCATATGCATAATGATATTTTAGGGATGGGACTGAAGGCTAAGCACAAAATTCATTTACGTTTCATACATACCATATATATATATATATATGGCCTAAAACTAATTTTATGCAATGTCTTTCGTGCACCTGAATTTTGACTGCAGCCTGTCACAGGTCAGGTTTGAGATTTTCCACATGTGGCATCTTGCCAGTGCTCAAAAAGTTTGGGATTTTAGAGGGCTTTGGATTTGTGGAGTGTTTTGGATTTCAGATTTTCAGATTAGTCATGTTCAGCCTGTGTTTTTTAATTATTTTCGAGTAATGCCATTTAACAAACTATTTTGAACTATTTGATGCAGAGATGAAGACATGCAGAGTTTGGCCAGTTTGATGAGTATGAAGCAGGCTGACATTGGCAATTTAGATGATTTTGAAGAAGATAATGAAGATGACGATGAGAATCGAGTGAGCCAAGAGGAAAAGGCAGCAGAGATCACAGGTGGCGCCATTAGCATAATGCTAACAATTTCTTTATTTTCTAATTTGTGATTCACGTTTTGATTTCTTTTTGTGACCCAAATGTATTTTGAGTATTTTTACCATGTGCTTTGCTTGTTTATTTCTACTTTGTTTGCTTCTAATTCAATTGAAGTAAGATTCAATACCTTGGGTTTCAGTTTTCCAAAAAATTTTATTAAGTTTTTTTTTTCTTTGTAGTTAAGATAAATGGTATATTTTTGTAAATTTTTCAAAACTGTGTTTTTACATGTATATTCTATTTGCTGGATTCAGCATTAGATCAGACTTTTAACTTATATTAACCTATTTATATTCTTATTCTTTTCTATAGTTTATCTATTAAAGATAGAGGACAAAGTCCTAAAGTATTTAGTCCAAAAATGTGGTGTCAAAACTTCATTCTAATTTGTGTAATTTTGCTCCATTTACTACTTCTCGTCTGAAAATTTTGCCCAATATTGGTATTTGTAACCCATACTTTATTTTCCTGTCAGATTAATCTTTTTTTTTTTTAAAAAAAAAACAACACACCCCTATTTTAAGTAATAGACTCTCTGTAAGTAGCATTTGGTTACTGTAGCCTTATAATGTTTGCTTCTGGCTGAGGAGGTGGCCTAGTCAGTAAAGTGCTTGCCACGAAAGCATGAGGACTTGAGTTCAGTCCCCTGCACCCACATTAACAAGCCAGGTACAGTGGTGCATGTCTGTTATCCCAGTGCTGGGGAGGCAGAGATAGGAGGATCCCTAGGGCTTGCTGGCTAGCCAGCCTAGCCAAATTGGCAAGTTTCAGGTTCAGTGAGAAACTGTTTGTTCCCAAAAATAAGGTGGAGAGCAATTGAGGAAGACACTTGACCTCAGCCTCTGGCCTCCATGCACATCTGCACCACACATGTACATGTACCCACATACACAGGCACATACCCCACATGAACTAGAAGACACACAAACACACACAGAGAGAGAGAGAGAGAGAGAGAGAAAGAGAGAGAGAGAGAGAGAGAGAGAATGAGAGAGATAAAACAGTTATGTATTCCCATAGCTGACAAACTTGGTTTTACTCACATTACTTTTTAATACTTTT